GTTAACACTCTGGGGTAAATGGTGGAACGTCGCTGTAGCTAAGGAGTTTCGTACGGACGGCGACACAGGTGGACAGTTTCTTATCAGCCTTCCGCGTTGGTGGCAGAGCACTTATGGTTTATAACCGTGTGCAGTGACGCTGGTTTACATTCCCGACTTTATCTTAACGGCAGAGGTGATCTCTCACCTGGCGGACGATGTTACAAGTAAAATGGAAGAAAATCAACATCCGTTCCAAGAGAGACTGACTCAGCGGGGAGCGTCAGGGGGCTTTGGGTGCCACTGGAGTCTCGGAGGGGGTGGGGCGAGAAAGGCAAGACGAGTAGTTAACCAGATGAGGCGTACCATCAGTGTGGAGACTTTTCGCTGTAAAGTACTTCCTTTGCTAGATTCACATTGGTTCAAGTATCAAATAGATCACCTAATATAACTCCATGGTTTCTAAATAACTTTGTCGCAGTGTGTGTTCTATTTTAATGTAGTCATTTCAAAGTCAGTAACTATTTGTGCTTGTGTGTTGTAATATTGTCATTATTTTACTGATGAAGGCTAATCGCCGCAACGTCCTCTGTTTGTTTACTGTAACTGCTTTTGTAAACCTGACATATTCTTCATGTCTGTCTCTCACCCTTGTCTTTCTCTTTTCTTTTCTATAATTTCCTATATTGTTTTAGACTGAAGGCGGGAGTGGAGGCAATAGCATGAGCTCGTCTTCAATGTTATGATGTTGAATCTCTACCCAGATTAACCCGGATGAAAAGAGGCAGTTTTATAGAAGACTGAGGGAAACAAAAGAACAGATACAAAGTGTTGGGATTACTCCGAGGGATGTCAGTTATTCAGTCAGTTCAGCTCATCACAGCGCATCTCCAGTGCCAATCGACACTCGATGATGATGACGTAAACAGGGGGTTAGCTGACTGCAAGAAATGCGAGGTATAACCCAAAATGTGACCAGAGAGTTCAACGAAGGCAATGAAAAAGACGTACACAAATATAACCGAACGTCTCAACCAAAGTCTTTATCAACGTAGTACTAAATACAGCACAAACTGTGACTGGAAACTCAAAGGACAAGACAACAGAGCTAATAAAAAAAGAAAGTCAGCATGATACGAAAAAATACGTAATGAGGGGAAAAGTATGATTATGACGGCTATAATACGAAACGAAATAAGTAAGAAGGCGTATGTAAAAAGAGACGAATAAGTTACATAAGTGAACAAGGAAATAAATTAAATTCAACTCGGTGGTGATGACTAATAGAAAACGAACACACGAGCAGTAATGTTGCATGGTGCAGAATGACATTCAGTTATGTGTAAAGTCTATGCATATGACACAGAGATTTGTTGTTGTTTAAGTATCCAAAAAACCATGAGTTGCTAACCCTTCGGCTCGGCGCTGTAGATATCGCAACCCTTCGGCCTTGATTCCATGATAGGTACCGTAAATTTGGGAGAAATTTGGCTTTTCTGCCTAACCCTGGCCGTGAACCTAGACCACAAGGAGTTCATCACCTGGTCGCCGCCCAGTCATGTTTTACCAGCTGAGCTATGGAGTCGGGCATGTCACAAATATAAAGAACAGAACAGAACAGGTTTAAACTTAATGTTATTTAAAAAAAACACATTTTATGCAATAAATCCATGCCACCGGAGGTTAGTAGCAATTCTTGCATGTTTTATAGAATCTGTTTCAACATATGGGCGTGAATCCCGGACACTTAATAAACAAGCCAAACCATTTCTTGAAGCCTCGGAGATGAGGTTGTACAGACGAATCCTTTGAATTCTTGGATAGTCGTAAAGAGTAAAGCAGATGTCTAGAGAGAGGTGAGGATTTGAAGACAACTTATCAGAAATATCAAAAGGAGACAGTCCTCACTTTTGAGTGTGGAAATGTTATGAAAAGAAAATACACTGGAACATCTGGCAACTGGGAAAATATGTACTCAGACATGTACACATCAGGTACATTGCCGCCGACGTTCAGAGGTGGAGGGAACTGATTAGGCGGTCAACAACAACTGTGACCCAACGACACGCTGTTTTATGGAACTCTGCTGCTGATGATGATAATGAAAAAGATAGAGAAAGATAACATAAGAAGATTAGTGACAACCTTTTGCTATGGCATGGAGGGGTGTCAGGACACGGACTTACACATGCTGTTGAAGTTCTAAGATTGTGCGGAGGCTTGATCGCCGACGTTAGTAGACAAGGCACTTAATGACGATGATATGTCATTGGTCAAAAATCTGTAGGGTGAATACGCCATCTGGTAAAATTACTTATGATAATATCACTGATGATAATGATGGTGATGATGACATCGATGATAATAAAATGAACTTACCTAAAAACTGCTCCACAAACGCTTGCAACTCATCCTTCCTTTCCTGCTCCGCTCCGGCCTCTAGCACGTTAAAAACGACCGCTCCCAGAGATACATATATAATAAATACAAGCAGCAGAAGTACCAATCGTTTCACTTTCATACCCTTCTCTCTGTCCTTCTCGTCCTTGCTCCTCTTTCTACTGCCAGATTTTCGGCAGTCGTAAGCCTTTCTGTCCTGCTCTTGGTCGGTCTTTTGCAAAAACGAGGTAGAACTCTTGCTTGTGGTGATAATGCTGATGTTAGTTCGTTTCCGATCGTGAACTTTCCGTGACGATTTCTTAAGGAATGCGTGGTCGAGATGAAGTTCATGGTGTTGGCGACTAGTGTTTTGGCCATGGAAGCAACAGGTGCCGTTTTTGATAGATTCGATACCGGTGTAACTTTTAATAGAGGCATCAATACCATAGATGGCATTCTGTCTGGTGAAGGAAGTCATGAGGTGTCGTCATGCGTGATTACCGTTGGTCGGCAGTGATTCGGTTAGGAGTGTTTAATTTGGCTTTTTTCTTGGGTAAGCTATGAATTTTTCTTACGTTGAAGAATTTCACAATGGACATTTGACATTCACCTCGACAGCTTAAGAAGTAATTGTAGGTTCAACGTTGTACTTATTTTGCCTAGGGAAAGATAATAATCATTTAAGTGACTTCAAATTATTTGCTTGAGATCAGTTGCAAGTCCAAAAGAGTTAATTCAGACAACAGTGTGATGGTAAGGCAGTTGCTGGTGAATAGTACATTAACAAACAGCTAGTATTGTCAGTACAGTGGAACCTCGCTTAACGAGCATAATTCGTTCCAGAACTATACTCGTTAAGCGAAGCACTCGTTATGCGAAACAATTTTTCTCATATAAATTAATGTAAAATACGATAATGCGTTCCATGTCGAAAACAAATACTCACAAAATGCTATGTATAACGTTTATTCAAAGTAAATTACATACATATTGTTAAGGAGAGTGAATCACCTTCATCTTTTCTTCAAACGCGGAACAAACACACCTGGAATGCGAATTCGATTTGCAAAAAAAAAAAAAAAAAAAAAGAAAGTCGAAATAATTATGATACATAGCTATTTTTTTTTTTTTTTACTAGAAAGATGTCCAGAGACAATTGTTTTTGCCGACGCTTCAAAATTTGGCGAAAATGCGACACAGCATTATCATTAAATAAATTTGCAATGCGCGTAGCCACTTCTTTATTAGGGTGATGCTTCTCAATGTAAGATGCAATAGTTTGCCATGCTTTCAGCATTTCTGTTTCGAGTGAAAATTGTTGCTTTTCTGTTACCTCCTCCTTCTCCTCCTCCGACACACTTTCCTCCAAAACTTTTTTGCTGTGAAACACAATGCAACTCCATAAGCGCTTTGGTGGTCAGCTCTTGGCTGTGCTCTTCCAAAAGCTCTTCGATATCACTGTTATCCACCTACAATCCCATGATAGTGGCCAAAGACACAGTCTCGTTGACTACAGGTTCCACAGATACTGTCTCGAACCCCTCAAAGTCACAAATCGACAACGCTCTCCTGCCAAAGCTTTTTCAAAGCAGAAGTTTGGGTTCTCTTGGTAACCCCTTACCCCGCCTTGTCGATCATCTTGAGGCAGGCAACGAGGTGGAAGTGGTTTTTCGAAAACTCTTTGAGAGTGAGGTTGGCCCTTTCAGACACCTGAAAACAATACTCGAAGAGTGCTTTAGTGTAGAGCTTCTTAAAGTTAGAAATAATTTGCTGGTCCATGGGCTGGAGTAACGGAGGGGTGTTGGGAGGCAGTAACTGGATCTTAATGAACTTAAATTCTTCAGAGAGGTCATCTTGTAGGCCTGGAGGATTAATGTACATATATTACAATATAACACATGTTTGAAAAAAAAATGTGATCACAAGCGACACTACGATGCTACTGGAACGAGTGCTAAACACAGACTGATGTAACTTGCGCACAATTCGGGACTTATCCTCTCCTCGCCACTCGTTATGCGAAACGTCGCTCGTTAAGCGAGTCATTTTTTTACAGTTTGTTTTGCTCGTTATGCGAATTACTCGTTATGAAAGGTGCTCGTTAAGCGAGGTTCTACTGTAAATACTTGCTGTAGAATGTTTTGAGTCGATCCGAGAACATACAAACTGACTGATCCTACGAACAGTGAGGATTATTTGTCGACTAACTAACTAACTAACTAACTAACTAACTAACTAACTAACTAACTAACTAACTAACTAACTAACTAACTAACTAACTAACTAACTAACTAACTAACTAACTAACTAACTAACAAACTAACTAACTAACTAATTAACTAACTAACTAACTAACTAACTAACTAACTGACTAACTGACTAACTGACTGACTGACTGACTGACTGACTGACTGACTGACTGACTGACTGACTGACTGACTGACTGACTGACTAACTAACTAAACTAACTAACTAAACTAACTAACTAACTAAACTAACTAACTAACTAACTAACTAACTAAGTAACTAACTAACTAACTAACTAACTAACTAACTAACTAACTAACTAACTAACTAACTAACTAACTAACTAACTAACTAACTAACTAACTAACTAACTAAACTAACTAAACTAACTAAACTAACTAAACTAGCTAACTAGCTAACTAACTAACTAACTAACTAACTAACTAACTAACTAACTAACTAACTAACTAACTTACTAACTAACTAACTAACTAACTAACTAACTAACTAACTAACTAACTAACTAACTAACTAACTAACTAACTAACTAACTAATTAACTAACTAACTAACTAACTAACTAACTAACTAACTAACTAACTAACTAACTAACTAACTAACTAACTAACTAACTAACTAACTAACTAACTAACTAACTAACTAACTAACTAACTGACTGACTAGCTAACTAACTAGCTAACTAACTAACTAACTAACTAACTAACTAACTAACTAACTAACTAACTAACTAACTAACTAACTAACTAATTAACTAACTAACCAACTAACTAGCTAGCTAACTAACTAACTAACTAACTAGTGAACTAACTAACTAACAAACTGACCGAATGGCCGACTAAATGACTGACTGACCGCCTGACTGACTGACTGACTGACTGACTGAATGCCTGACTGACTGACTGATTGACTGACTGACTGACTGACTGCCTGACTGACTGAGTGCCTGACTGCCTGACTGACTGACTGCCTGACTGACTTACTGACTTACTAACTGACTGAATGACTAACTGACTGACTAAATGACTAACTGACTGACTGCCTAACAAACTACCTAACTAACTGACCGAGTAACTAGAAACTAACCGACCACAAATATTAACTGACCAACTCTTCATCTCCCTGACTAATCTAATTAGCTACCCAGCTAATTCATCTCTTCTCTTTCTCTTCCTCGACATTCTCGTCTTTCTCATCCGTCGTTTCTTCCTCCTCCTCTTCCTCCTCCTGCTCTTCTTCCTCCTTCTCCTCCTCACCTATCTTCTTCTTATTCTTTTCCTTCTTTTGCTGCTAATGCTGCATCCTTCCATTTAGGCATAGACCCTCAACGATGACAAAACTAGCAAAAATAACAATAACAACTGCAACTATAGCAACAACTGCGAAAACAACTTTAACAGGGGAAACATCGACAACACCAACAAATGCAAGAGTACACTGATTATAATTGTCTTGTGTTAATTCAGTTTTCAGAGTTCGTTAGGAAATAGGTTGCTGGAGCACTTAAACACAAGTTTTGAGATGATTTTAGGTCAAGTATCTTAAGGATTTTGTTTAGTTCACAAAAGTAATTGCGATTCTCATAGACTAAACTGCGCAACGTCGCGAAAAATTGAAATCCGTACGGCTACAAACATGCGCTTGCTGAAATATTGTTTGTGGCCTGGTAATGTTATCTGTCAATGAGAATGCTGGATAATGAGGTAATATTAAGCTAGGCATCCTTTACACTAGGAGTCTCCGTTGTGTAGCGGTTAGACTCTCGCTTGAGGATCGGAAGGTCGTGGGTTCGGGTCCTGTCAGGGTTGGCTTCCAGGTCGACCCAGCCTTGAAAGGGTACCAGGTATACTCATGGAAAGTAAAGGCGGTCGACGTGATGTTAAAATAAGAATAACCGACAGAGCACAAATAAGCTAGTGAAAACACGTAAAGCTAAGGCCCTGGCACATAGCCAAAGTTCAAATGTACGAACAACCAGGTCTTTTCACCGGAGCTTATTATAGTCGGTGAACAAAGAAGAAGAAGAAGCAGAAGAAGAAGAAGAAGAAGAAGAAGAAGAAGAAGAAGAAGAAGAAGAAGAAGAAGAAGAAGAAGAAGAAGAAGAAGAAGAAGAAGAAGAAGCAGAAGAAGAAGAAGCAGAAGAAGAAGAAGAGAAGAAAGAAGAAGAAGAAGAAGAAGAAGAAGAAGAAGAAGAAGAAGAAGAAGAAGAAGAAGAAGAAGAAGAAGAAGAAGAAGAAGAAAATGAAGAAGAAGAAGAAGAAGAAGAAGAAGAAGAAGAAGAAGAAGAAGAAGATGAAGAAAATGAAGAAGAAGAAGAAGAAGAAGAAGAAGTAGAAGTAGAGGTAGAATAAGAAGAAGAAGAAGAAGAAGTAGAAGAAGAGGTAGAAGAAGAAGAAAAAGAAGAAGTAGAAGAAGAGGTAGAAGAAGAAGAAAAAGAAGAAGAAGAAGAAGAAGAAGAAGAAGAAGAAGAAGTAGAAGTAGAGGTAGAATAAGAAGAAGAAGAAGAAGAAGTAGAAGAAGAGGTAGAAGAAGAAGAAAAAGAAGAAGAAGTAGAAGAAGAGGTAGAAGAAGAAGACACTTACAAAAATAATGCTAAAACGTACGTAAACATCAGGCAGGGTACCAGCAGTACAGTATATTACAGTACAGTATAGTACAGTATATTACAGTACAGTACAGTACAGTACAGTATAAATCGTACCAAAATTGCACGAAAGTATTAACTTCGCCAGTCCTGTTTCTGAGGCTTACGGGGGTCACTGGTGGAGCTGTTTTATCATTTACAGCATGGTCTTCAACCTTTGTCAGGTTGCCCCCCCCCCTTCCCCGTGTATATAGCAAGACTCCCACGCCCCCTGGAGTATATGGCAAGACCCCC